CCGGTAAGTCGCATCGTATTGGGAGCGGCTCCCACCATGAGAAGGAGGGCAGCTGTTGTAGGATCTGGCGCCGGACCAGAATTTTGCACTTCCGGAACTAGGAAGGTTAGCAAGGAACAACGGATCGCACCGGGGTAGGAGGCATACCAATTGATACGTCCTGAACGACGTCGGCATCTCCCTCCGCATCAGCATCCTCCTCATCGGTCGGCGGGTCGGGCGTACGCGCTTCATGGTTGTGTTCGCTGCATATGATGGTCAAGATCCATTTCCCCAGCGTCTTACGATTGACGGCTTTGGCCTTCCAAGGGCAATTGGTCTTCTTGGTGGATGTCTTCAGCTGCGTCGCTGTGCATTTGTAAGGCTGGCCACCACGATCGCAGACGAGATCACATCTGACGACCTCGCTTCCTTTCTCGTAGGTGCCGCCGACCTTGTTTCGATGGGTACGTGACTTGACGACCTTGTACCCATCTTTTTGCATGCGCGTCTTCAGCGCCGCGAAGAGCTCGTCGAACGAGGCATATTCCTCAGTGCCGTCGCTGCGGTCGCGGGCGCCCAAGATGCCGAACATGTTGACGGCGGGGCGGGGCGACTAAACACCAATGTCGCGATGGCTTCAAAAGCCTGGTCCCGGATCGGTGTCGGTCGAGATGGGCAGTTCGAGTCGTGGTGTCGCGGCGCGACGCGGTTTGGCTTCCTGTGCGGATTGGTTTTCCAAGCCTGTCGCAAACTCTTCCTGGCGTGTCAGGGCCGTGGAGATGACGACTTGACTCCACCGGCCGACATCTCATTACTTTAGTGGCTGTGCATCCGATAGTTATGTGGCTAGTGCTTGTGGCTCCACTCCTGACAAGACCGGGGCAACCCCGGCTCGGCCGTGTAAGTCAGGCAGGAGCTGTTGCCCGTTGCTGCGATCTTGGTATGAGGTTCTTCGATTCTTCTCAACGACGCCCCATCTATTTCTGTCGAGTAAGGATAATCCCGATCTGTTCTGCTAGTTGAAGCCTCACCTCCCACCACTGTAGTCTACCAAATATATCCTGAACTGCGAGACCGCCAGTATCTCGGCTGGTGTAGTCCACATCGCCACAAGATGGATGCTCGATACTTGCGGCCGCCGAGACCTTCGACGGGTTACATGACCACTCCTTCTCAGACACCAGCACCATACGGAAGGGCGTCTCCCTACTTCCCCCAAACAACCTCAAGAACGGGCACAAGCTCAGCAAATTCGAGAGAAGAAGGCTCCTACACGGCAACGCCGATACCATCTTCAGCGGAAGATCCTGTGTCTAGTCCTTACTACACCCCAAGCTACGACTACGGCACTGATACTAGTGGTACTATATCGAGACCTCGTACGACCCGGCCGAGCACTTCCCACACTAGTCGCACGTCGCGAACCCCTTTTCTGCCCAACAGCGCCAAACACACCATTGTGTGTGCCCTGAGCGAGGCTCGCGGAATTACTCCTGCTGTTGGAATTGTATTCTTCAACGTTGATACCGGGGAAGCCATTCTCAGCCAAATCTCCGACAACAGGTTCTTCGTTCGCACTCTCCACAAACTTCAGATCATGGAGCCAACCCATCTCCTGATCGTCAGCTCGTGCTGCCCCCCGAATCCCAAGTCGAGGCTTTACAGCCATATCGAGGAACATATGCCAGATACAAAGATCACATCTCTTGATAGAAAGTACTGGTCAGAGATGGATGGGCTCAATCGTATTCAAACCTTCGCATTCCGAGAAGACGCAGAAGCTGTAAAAGTTGCTATCGAAGGCAGCTTTTATGCGACTTGCTCGTTTGCCGCGGTAGAAGTATCCTCGGAAATCCACGCTAGCATAATCACTGACTTTACGTAAAGGCTATGAGTTTCTTGGAGACCGAGTTCTCCGTGCGTGTTGTTCCACACTCTCTTCGCATTCGTTATCAGCCCTCGGAGGATACAATGATGATTGACGTATCTGCCATCATGTCTCTCGAGATCCTGCAAAATCGACGCCACGCGGCGTCTAACGACAGCCTTTACGGTGTTCTCAAGCATACACTGACGCCCATGGGCGGCCGGGTACTTCGAAGTAATCTACTGCAGCCGTCTACACTCAAAGAGTCATACCTTGAGCCTAGGTTTGCTGCATTGGAGGAACTTCTTGCAAATCAAGACATGTTTGCAGAGGTCCGAACAGGTTCGATTCTCCCATCTTTTTGTCATCGGCGACTGACTAAGATCGTGCAGCTTTGAAGGCTTTTCCTGATGTCGAGAGCATGCTGACCAAGGTACCGAACCACGATAACAGCTGATATCTTCCAGGCCCTGCTGACTGGGATAGCTTGTCATCATCCCTAACAAACCGTCCGTTGAGGCGTCAGAAAGAGCAATCAATCATGTTCTGATGGTCAAGACCTTCATAGATGCCGTTCCACCAGTGTTCCAGGCGCTAGGCCCTGCCACGTGCCCTCTTCTCACCAAAATCAGAGATCTTTGCCAGCCAGAGTTGACTGCAGCCGCCAGAGAGCTTGTGTACCAGAATATTCATGAGGATGTTCATTATGTCAAAAGCGCTCTAGACCTACGAAATCAAAGAACTTTTGCGGTCAAAGTAAGTGGCTTTGCGGTCAATGATGCTGAAAATTGGCTAACAATGCAGCAGCCTGGAATCAACGGGCTTCTCGATGTTGCCAGACAAGCCTATAAGGAAAACACCGATGACGTCCATAAGCATGTTGAAGAGCTGAATCGTAATTGAGCTGACCCTCCCCCACCGTCCACTCCTCATTCTAACAAAGATTGCAGGCGAGCATAGTATCGAAGCTATCCTACGGTTTGATAACGGGCGCAAGTACAGCCTCCGAATGCGAGCAGTGGATTTCGAGGACCGGGCTATTCCTGCTGTGCTTGTCAACCGGACGATGAGGGGTCGTTACATCGAATGTCTCACAATGCATCTCAAGAAACTGAACCAGAGAATCACCGACTCCGTTGCGGAAGTGGTCATGCTGAGTGACAAGGTTATTCAGGATCTCATCGACAGCATCCGGACTCAACTGCAGCCCCTCTACCGCGTCTGCGATTCAATCGCACTGCTCGACATGATTGCGTCATTTGCACAGGCAAGTTCGACCTTCGATTGGAGAAGACCGGAAATATCAGATACTCTAGCGCTGAAAGCTGCTAGGCATCCCATCATGGACAAGGTTTGGCCTACCCACTGGCTGCCTCAACACATGCTGATCGTAAGCAGACTCTGAAGGGTGGCTTTGTACCGAATGATTATTACGCTACCGAGGAGCACCGTTTCCAGATTGTGACCGGCTGCAATATGAGCGGGAAAAGCACTTACATCAAGAGTATCTCTCTGCTCCAGATCATGGCACAAATTGGCTGCTTCGTGCCTGCTGAATACGCCAGTTTTCCCATTGTACACAATATCTTCGCTCGGGTGACTACCAACGACAATATTGAGTCCAATATGTCAAGCTTCTCGCTTGAGATGAGAGAGATGGCTTTCATCCTTAGGTACGTAGTATTGACGCAGGAGAGGTTCCAGTACTGACGTGCCCAAGCAATGTCACCCACAAGAGCATCGTCATCATAGATGAACTAGGTCGAGCCACAAGCACTCGAGATGGACTTGCTATCGCGATCGCCATAGCCGAAGCCCTTATACAGAGCCGTGCCATTGTGTGGTTTGCAACTCACTTCACAGAGCTTGGTAGGTCCCCTGTCACAATCCCTTGACTTCGCTACAGGTGGACCTGGTCGGGAGCTAACTCAATATGCCTTAGCCGACGTCCTAGCCGATCGTCCCGGAGTGCTGAATCTTCGTCTCGTCACGCAGGTTTCGACGACGGACAATAACGTACCCAAGTTAACTATGATGTACAAAGTTGAGTCGGGAAAGACTGAGGAGTTGCTCTATGGCATCACACTTGCGAAGGCAATGGCATTTCCCAAACGGTTCCTGGACGTTGCCGAGGAAGTTGCTATATCACTGCATCAACGAAGGGAACAGAATAAGCAGTCTTCTCAAGCGAGGAAGATGCTCAACCGACGCAAGCTAATACTTAATCTTCACGAACAGCTCAAACAGGTGAAAAACTCAGAAATGGATGATTCATCGATGAGAAGTTACCTGATCCGTCTTCGAGAGGAGTTCGTCTTGCGAATGGAGGCCATCGAGAACGGTGGCAATCAAAGCAGCAGCAACACTAGTAAGGCTATCGGAGACGGGATGGACGGGGAGGATAAGGAGTTTGAGGACGAAGATGTCTTCGACACTGTTGATGCCGAGTCACTTTGGAGCAGCTGAGTGGAATACTTGAGGAAAAGGGATCTGAAGATGACTTTCAAAGCAACATGGTTCTTTCGTTGCTAGGTCGTCTTATAGGTATGGACTCGGCCACCTACTTGGCTGTTGTTCATGAGATGGGCGTGCATTGTAGTTCGCTTCTTCTTATAGGAACACACAAGATAAGGCGAGAGGTCTGATTCGCTCAGTGATTAGAACCGGTGTCTCATAGCAGCTTGAGCTTCTGGCATGTTTGTCCAAGACTGCGTACACAGAGCCATGAGGACAACTAATCTTGTATTGGTCTTCAAATGGATGATAGGAGCTTCTTGTGCATAGAAGCAGCAAGGTGCATCATCCCAGTGCTCTTGGATTGATGCCATACGCAATTTGGTACGTGTTGAGTCTGGCTTGGAAAGGGCAAGAAGCACCCACCGCTCCTTCCCTACAGGGGATAGGGAGTTTACCGATCGAACGGAAGGCACCAACCACCCTCGGGCCTTGCATCTTTCCCTCATCGCAACCTCCACGGTCGGTACCTCCCCATCCACCCACCTTGCCGCGTCTATCCTGTACAACGGTTTTCTTTCATCGATCGACTTCACACTCTGCCTTGAGGCCTTGTCTTTTACATCCAATTCATTCCTCACCTCTGGTCTCGAATATCTTGTGCATTGTACCACGCCCCAGCGGCCTTTTGCGCGCTATGAAGAACCCGCCTTGTGAGTATGGCGAAGAAGCCATGGAGGAGTCCGACCTACCATCGTGAGTTCCCCCAAGGGTCTATTTATCTTCACCTTGCTGACGTCCCATAGCCTCTGGGAGACGAAGAACGACGCCGACATTCTTCTTACAATGGGTGCCAGCAAATGGGAACTTCATGACAAGGCGGTACGCGGAAAGAGCGGCTTGATCGACCACATCCTAGAGATGGTTCAGATGGTAAGCTCCTCATGCAGCGTATCGTCTCGCGAGGTCTCGCATGGCCTTCAAAGTGGCTTTGACTACTAACGGCCGTCTCCAGAAAGAAGGAATGAGAAAGATTCCACTGAAGGAGCGCATGTTCCCTCATTCAGCTCTGAACACAGTCTTGAAGTACTTCTACTTTGGAGGTGGTGATTTCTTCGGCCTTACGAAGGCGGAGTGTGCTGACCATTAGCAGAAAGCCTGATCACGGAAAAGACTGAAGTGATAGACCTCCTCTCCTTGTACGAGGTGTCCGCGACACTCGGCATTCTCCCGTTGCAAGAGAGGATTGCTTTTCAGGCAGGCTACTTGCTTGGCGAGATCCTCTCCAGTGGCACTGACAGAATGGGAGATTTCTACATCGTCATCGAGGTCATCATTGCCGAGCAGGACGACTTGTGGGTTTTCATGCACGAGGAGATGCAGCGAGCACTTAGCCCCTATCTCCTCAAGCTTCTTCCACAGGACACCTTCGTGGACCTCATCAAACAGAACCCGGCATTCTGTTTGGAGATTCTTTCCACCGCTGTTGATCGCATCGAGATACTCGAAGACGCTACAAAGGAGGTGACTAGTGTGAAGGGCGCGAGTGACGTCGGCACTCAAGCTGTGATCGAACATGGCAGTGGTATTCCGAGACCTTATGGTAGGTACTTGGTTGTCGAGTATCGGCTCCGCCTTCACTGACACAAAGAAGTCGAAGCAGGAACACAAGCAGACATTCCGCTGCCGCACACCCCGAAAACCATCCCTTCGGCCACAGGTGACGATGACCAGCACCCATGCTCCGACGATGAGACGATTCCTCGGCCCAGAAAGCGCGTATCCATGGTAAATTTGGGCACGGAGTTCATCAGTCGACCGGATGATGCTAAACACTCTTCGCAGTCTATCCCTGGACCGGCGAACAAGTCTAGAACGGCGGAGAATCCCAATCCCACCTCCAAAGATGCCAGAGGTAAGTCCTTTTCCAGCCATTCGGCGAGTTCTGGATCCATTTTCGAAGCACTTCGGGATCCTAGTCACACGTTTCACAGGCTGATTGTGCGATAGTGAGCCACATTCCGCAAGACTTCAAGTTCGACTTTCAGGCAAAGAGCTCCGAGGTCAAGAGTATCTCAACAGGTATCAACCAGAGCCAGGTATGCAGTCTTTCGGCGACGCCGAAAGTGGTCACTGGAAACGGGGCTGTTCCGAATGTTCGCCCTCAATCATCATCATCATCACATGCATCTACTCACTGGGAGTCTTGCAGCGAGGGTGGTGAGAGAGCCGTCCCGGTCACCGAGATGAGCAAATCAATCACTACGTCTGCCTCTGTCGAGCTTTCATCGCACATTGGTGTAGCGCCAGAGTCTCAATCCAAAGATGAGAAGGCACAAGTTGGCTCTGGAAACAAGAAAGACACGATTTTGGGGAATTTATCGTTGAATTTCTCTAGCCATATTCAGGGGGGATGCCTACCAATTTCGCTGCCCGAAGACTCCGGTGCCCGTCAGACCGAGCAGACTGCAGTTCCCGCCAGTTATGAGCGGTCAAGTCGCTCATACGCTTTGAAACGCGACAGCCTCCCTCGAGGCTTCCAGTTCTTCCAGTCCTCTAGTGGACCGCAGCCAGGGCAATGCGATGTCTCTACTAGCAAGGCTGCTTCTAGTCACTCTCAGGAAAATAAGACAGCTGTTACGGGAGTCGTCGAAAGACAGCGAAGAGAATACGTGTTGCGCGGGTCTGAAGTCACACAGACCGAGGGGATATCTGCTCCCGCCATTCCGGAGCGGCCAAGTCGCCCGTACGGCTTCCATAGCGCAGACCTACCACGGAGCTTCAAATTCTCTGAGGGTGCCCAAGGAGAGCACTCCAAAGAGCCGAGTGTCAAAGCATCAGGCAGTAAGACACCTAACACCAAAGCCTCCACCAGCTGCGCTCAGCAGAGTACCTCTTCGTCTTCCCACACCAGAGTGAAGCCGAGCCCTTGGAAAGCCGACAAGGCAACGGCGAAGCAAATGAGAAAAGGACGGCTGATAGTCGAGCCTCCTGGTGAGTTGCCAAAGCCGTTCAACTTTTGGTGGTGCGGGGTTCTGCCTTGCCACTGGCTGCTCTGTTATCTAAAGGCCTTCTTCTCACCATCACCACAGAAATCTTCTCCAGCTCACGAACCAACTTCAACCTCGAAGGGGACAACTTGGAGGAATGCTGCAAACCTTCTTGAAGTTGACAGATCTCCCGAAGTTCATCAGGGAACTCAGTGACGCAGCATCATGCGAGTTTTTGGCCGGGATTCAGTATCCAAAGATACTGTATGAGTACTGGATGAGCGAGAGGAATGTTAGGAGAGGATGCATTCGAGGACAGAGGCATCCAACACGTGTTTATCGGTACAAGGTATGGACATCCCTACAGAACATCGCAGAGTATGACTGACGTCACCTCAGTGCTGAAGGTTTCCACCCAAGAAACAAACCCTTGTGGATCATGTATCCCTGACCATGATGGTCTGAAGGTATTGAAGTCTCAGAGGGGATGATGATGGAAGAAGCAAGTGAATGTAGTAGCGGCCATCACGGAAGGCATGGCATGATACAGACTTCCCAATCTCAGGGTAGCCTCGTAGATAGATCAAGGCCAAGAAGACCGAATGCAATTTACTGTCCTACAATTGGGCCTTCTCCGTCCGGTTGCCCTGCTCGTCAAACCAGATCTTGGTTCCCTTAATCATTGACTCCTGCAATGCCGCACCGATCTTGACAGCAGCCACTGCTGAAGTCAACTTGATCGGCACAGGCTTATCCTCCAACACGCTCTCGGTAAACTCAATCGCCTCGGTCGTGAAAGCAGCCCTGAACCGATCCCAGTACGTTTGCGGCAGCTCTTGCCGGATGCCTCCCGGTGTGTAAATCTTTACATGGTTCTCCGCCGGCAACAGGTTGACCGACAACTTGCCCTTGGTACCAATAATCTCCGTCGAATCCTCCTGGCCCGCGGCCATCATGCGCGAAGCATACAGATACGCGATGCGCCCATCGTAGAACTCGACCGTGCCAACAGCGTTGTCGCGATCGTTGTGCTTCCGCAAGTCCGGCTCGACGGCTGTGATGCCCACGGCGTGGACGGACTTGACCTTGGTGGTCTCCTCGTCAAAGAACCAGAGCGCGAGGTCAATGTCGTGGATACTGCAGTCGACAAAGATGCCGCCCGAGAACTGAGCGTAGGCGACGAAGAAGCCTGAAGGGTCAAGGACGTCGCAGGTCTGGCTGCGGAGGATGGCGGGACGGCCGATGAGGCCTTGTTGCATCTTTGCGTGGGCGTCGCGGTAGGAGGCGTCGAAGCGGCGGGAGAAACCGCACATTACTTTGAGATCTGGGCGTTTTGCGGCTGCGTCGACGACGGTTTGTGACTGTGGCCGTGTTGTTAGTTCCCTCTCGCCGCACATGTTCAGGTGGGAAGGACAAGACACTTACAACTTCGACAGTGGTGCCCAATGGCTTCTCGCACAAGACGTGCTTGCCCTTCTCAATGGCCTTGTTGGCCTGCTCGGCGTGGACAGAGGTCGCGGACGCCACGCAGATGGCCTCTAGGCCTTTGTGGGCGAGCATCTCGTCGTAGGACTCGTAGACGGTGACGCCGTGGGGGGCCAGGTTCTCGGCGGCCCATTGGCGCTCGCCAGCGTCGGGGGAGCTGACGGCCACGAGGGTCGCGCGGGGCACGTTTTGGTGGAAGTTGAGAGCGTGGCGCTTGCCCATGCGGCCGAGGCCTGCGACGCCTACTTGGAGCTTCTTGGTTGACATTTTGCTTTCTTTGCGGTTCTGGTAATGTTTCGTGCGGTGATTGCTGAGGTGGTCCGGTGTTAGGGGGTTGACTTGTGATCGTGGTGACGGTGGCGTGCGGTCTATGTCTATGTCTATTTTCTCTGGTATGCAAATCGAACGGGAGCTGGACGAGCGTGAGGGTATCAAAGATGGAAGAATGTACGAATAATGGCGGTGACGAGGACCGGTGGGATGCTCCTCCTCTCTAGTCTGAGACAACTGGCGCAAATGTACAACCTGGGAGAAGTCGAAAGGTACCGAGGACGGCTTAACATGGCTCTACAAACAATCAGGGACCTCTGGTGTCTTATATCCCACAGCTTTTCATACGGAACCTCACCGTCCTCGGAGCTCTATCGGAAACCATTTCCCGACACGAATAAAGAGCTCCATCGCGGGGCAGCTCTGACGCTGTTGAGGGGACCATCTCATGCCAATTGACCAGTGGGAAAGTGGAAGCGCATGTCGGAATCCCACAAAAGCGCGCCCAGGAGTCAAGACGCGTCGAGGAGCCCACGTGAACTTGCAGCAATGCTGAGCTGTAAGAAAGCTTTGAGGCATCTCGAAACTTGGCTTGCAACCGGTGTAAGACAGCCCACTTTCCCCATTGTGCGAATGAGGCAGGTGGGGGGTTGGAAATGAACAAAAAAGAGCTTCGCATTGGTTGCTCAGCTTATCGGGGCAAGTTTCCCCGAATCTCGAATTGGCGTCTGCGGTAACTTTGTCCGGTCTTTATGTCTTACGGGCAGATTACGTGAACGAGACCAAGCTCCGCGTATAAGCTCGCCACCATACGACTAAGTATGGTACACTACGAATATACCCCAATATCCCAAAGCTAAAGAAGAAACTAAGAAAAACTTGTTGGGTTTGTTTAGGAACCTGGGGTAGCCGACAAGTGTGCGTTCCAGAACTGGTCATGCCCTGCATGTGTCACAATCTTAGAGGTAACATGTATTAACCCGCATTACGGATACGGGGTAATGTCCGTGTTCAATGAGTCTATCTGATCCTCCGCATTACCTCGATCCGCTTTATCGGGATCACCAAATTCCATCCCCGTACTTCACCCCCTCCCCTTTCCCAATCCTTGGTGCTGGTTTCCTGGGGTACGGGGTAACGAGGGGGATCAGATGACTGGAAATGAAGTCGTTTAGTCCTGTCTGTACGTGCCCTTGTCTTGTCTCCATGTTTGTTACGGAATCGTCGTCGTGATTATTAGCCGTCCACAATAAGACATGTAGGCACACCTACAGGCAATTATCGGAATCCTAATCCCGAACTTTTCATGTAATATGCTGTGACCAAAGACACAAAAAACATCAACGTGGTATTACTGCAAGGTACAGTAGGCAACTATGTTGAGTACTCAGAGACATATTCAGTCATGAATCGTCCTCCCACCCCCACGCCCTCTTCAAGTGTGACTGTGCCGAAGCAGTGGGCCACATGTGCTCAACATCCGTCTTGACCAAAATATCCAATAGTGCTTTTTGCTCGGCATATTCGACGAACCTGTCCCCGCACGCCGTGACACCCATACAGGCCGTGAACATGGCTGGTATCGTCTGCTTGTTTGATAGCGCGGCGCCACATAGTTCTCGGACTTGCATACGAATGTCGTTCTTATGTCTCCCATGTTAGCTAGTTCTCAGGTCGAGATTGGTAGAATGACTGGAACCGCTTACATCTAGCTTTTTTCGAGCTCGGATTCGACTAGGTCCTATCTTGGGAATGCTCTCGTCGTGGCACATCAAGAGCGCTCGTGCCAACGCCCCATGCACATTTCCGATCACTAGGCTATGTTAGTGGGCTCGTTCACTATGTCGCCATGAGCAAAGACTGGAAAATAAGTCCCAGCTTCAGGGAAGGGAGAAAACTAACCGACTGCATGATTAATGTAAAAGATTTGAGGAAAGACCAAGCCTGAAGCAAGGTCCGGCTCAGAGTACGCGATAGGCAGCCAAGAAAGCGGTCTCGCGCGTAGCCAGTTATAGTCATACTCAACCAGCCGCTGATACTCACTCTTGCGGTTCTCCACCTCGCCAAAACAAAACTGCACCACCTCGGCGCAGTGCACGACGATGCGATTCGCCCAGCAATCGTCGTCAGCCGGCGAAAAGGACCGGTCAATGAAGAGGTGGTCGAGCTTGACCTTGATCGGCCGCTGCGTCGCAAACGCCATGGTAATTTCCTGCCGGAGGCCTACCCAGAACGAAGCCTGTCGGAGGGAGCTCGGCGGGTCGAGGGCGGATGCGTTTTGCGTGTTCATGAAGAGCTGGATGCCGAGGAGATGGCCCTCGTGGTCTGTTCCTATGAGCGGGACATCGAGCTCTTCAAGGGTGCGGAGGAGGATTGTCGCCGCGAGGAGGTCATCGTTCGTGAGGGCCGACGAGTCGTTTGAGATGGTGGTGAGGTGTTTGAGGCATTCTTGGTGGTAGCGGTCCGAGGCGTAGGGGTCATACTGTTCATGGAGGCTGAGGTGGCGGGAGGAGAGGGCGAAGATTGCGTTGAGGAGGGTTGGACATGTTGTTGCTCTTCGGGGAACGACGATTGCAAAGTGCCGTCTTGCGTCGCATAGATCGAACTGAAAAAGGGGGTTAGAACAGCCGAGGAGTTGCCAGATCATACTCCTGAGGTAAAAAAGCGTATGACCACTCACCCAGGTGCACATGTACTCTAGATAGTACTTCATCAACCTCACCTCATGAGGCTGCGTGAAAGGAAACACGACGTCGTCATGATGCTCAAAATTGGCTAGCCCGAGAGTTGACCCAGATGGAATAGCGCTGTAAACAGATGGCAAAGTCGTTGGCGTCTGCACCTGCACCTCTCTCCAACTCGCAGCCGGCGTAGAGGCGGGTTGGCTGTGAGGACTCGGGACTAGAAGCCGGGCATCACGATAATCTCGGCTATGCGAGTCGATGATGGGAGCCGGGGATGCGGATGCGGCGTCATCGGGTTGCCGCTGTTCTCGGCGTCGTTGTTGTTCTAGATCCACCAACAGCGCGGATGATGATAATGATGAGCCAGGATCAGGATGTGTCGCTGGCAGTGGTACCCGCCGACCCTCCGCCGGTGCAAGCTGCGGCTGTAGTGCTGCCGGTGGATGGAGTTGCAGTTGCGCTTGTGATTGCGGCGGCGGGCTGCCGTGTTCAGACCAATAAAGAGCCTCAAGTTCCTGGGTTTCATCGACAAAGTGTACTATGTGACCGAGTTAGGCAATTTTGACAGAAAAGAAAACGATGTCGGGATAAGCTTCGTTCCAAGATGATTCCAAACAAGGCATTTCTCGCCGTTTTTGCTCGTAGATCTCCTCCTCATTTTCCCCAACTTCTCCAACTTGCAAGGTCTTGGAGGTGGGACTGATAAACTTACATCGCCGCGGATAGGGCACCCACGT